TTGACCACAAATAGTCTGATCATGGAGGTTATGGTATTACCAAAGCAATAACATGGCTGGAGACACTGACCTTTACCCTGACGTTATTTCTACGGGACTCAGTGGATATGTAGCAAAGATTGATCCATCACTGAAGTTTGTGTGGGTTTAAAAGATTTTATCTGTGGTTTATGTTCAAGATGGCGGCATGTTTTATGATGCATATAAGGTCTTCTTGGATATATTAAAGTAAATTTAAAACTCGAACCTGTTGGTGATTTATTAATTGATGGCGGTTTAATAGGGACAAGAAAAAGAAACTCCTCCAGACGCTTATAACCAGAGGTTCCAGTGACGTTGGTTGCTTCATTACGTCAATAGACAGAAACGAATAGGGATAAGAATTATTTCACCGGTAATGCCCAGTTGACCTGTAAATACAAGCTATACGAGACAAGAAACAAACAGACATACATATCAGAAGTATATACACACAGAGACACACATACATGAGTGTAATAACGCAGACACATTTCACAAAACTTCAAGTAGTGAGCGGTAAATATTACCTGCCGTTGATAATTATTATTGAGAACAGTTTGTTTAAGCGTCTTCCACAGTTAATAGCCACTGCGGTAGTTTCCATTCTATCAGCCCGCTCGTACCTCAGACCACATATAAGACAGATGTGATAGGATCATGATCCTACTCAGGGAGCAACCAAGAGCTATAGCATTCTAAGTGTACGGTAAAGACCTCAAAAGAATGCAAACACTATTTGTATGACATATATCGATTTGAGACTTTGGACACATACATTAGATGCGGCGAAGGTATTCCAGACAAGAATGGCAGGAAATAAATGAAAGTTTTATGTGGAACCATGCTAACAACTTGATAAGAAACAATATGTTGTATTATATTCTGTTATCACAATCGACGTTTTTGTACATTGGGTATTCCCATGTACGCTCAGTCCTCCAATGCAGCAGCCATTCTAATGTGCCTCTACTGACTTGTTCCCATGAGAGGCTGGTTAAAGTATCTTGTGTTTTTACCTCGAAGACGGTGCTACTTCAAGCTTAACTCCCCGGTCACGCAATCGTGTTAGCATCAGAGATTCAACATTATTTCCCAAACTAGTCCGTACAGTGTTGATGATATGAGCTCTGCCAGTTCTTCTTCTCATTTGCACTGGTGCTTTACTTGCCAGCTAGTCAGCTCTTTCATCACCATTTACTCCTACGTATCCAGCTGTGTAGATCCAAATGATACATCTTAACTGCGATTTCCGAATACTTTCTACCTGGCGCGAGAAGCCGCTTCAAGTAGACAAGATACTTTGAGTCACGTACCACCCTGTTTGATGCTTCAATTTTTCTCTCTTGGCTTCGTCAAGAGTGACGTCATTTTCGTCACAGACGACATTGAGGGGTATCCCGATTAAGTCTACGGCTTCTGTTTGGGAACATCCCATTGTGTCTTATCTGCAATTTACCTGCACTTTCACGTATAAAATTTGACGTATAAAATTTGCTGCTAGCAAATTCGGCAGCGTTGCTGCATAAACCTTGCTACCAACGGAGTCTCCGCGGTTGGACTGGATTGCTGGGCATTGACTTCAAGTAGCTAGCAGGAGACAGCGTGCAATTTTGGAAGACAACTTTGATTGTTTTCTTTCCATTCGTCTAAAATCCCCAGCATTATGACCGTATAGTTACATCTAGATCCATCTGCTGAGAAGCTCAGGACAGATTCCTTGTTCCTTGTGGCAGGACACGCTTCCAGGCCACTGCCAGGCTGGTTGTAGTTGATGACTGAAGTGCCCTGAGGAAGGTCTTAGGGCAGGTCCAACGTTCCACCCCATTCTCCGAAGCGGATAACCTACTTCCCTCACACGACTACAGTTTCATTTTTTAACATTATCATCTATTTAGTTTGGTAAATGTAGAGAGAACAACACAAATGACACAATTACTTAAAAAAATATATGTGTATTTGTCAATCACAGTTAAAGTTATTTGTATTTCTAGAAATATGTATGGTTACAGTCGTATGCTGTCTATCAATATCCCCCTGCTAGATGGAGCCTAATTTAAAGATCAGAAAAGGAAGATATCGGGAAGGGTAATTTGCCCTGTCCAGCTATACATTTAGTAAGTGCTCGCTGGACATCTAAATTCCCTTTTCCCTTTACTGGAGATATTCCGGCAGGCCACTTTCCTTCACGAGCCAATTCAAGTTTGTACCTGAGTATCTTGAGAATCTGCTCTTGGCATCAAGATAGCTGTCTCGGTTTCTTTCTTGCATCAGGAGGCAAGATTTAAACCTGAAACCCCACCACAGTGAGTAAGATAGAAACCCGTTCCTCCGATCTTCTGAAGCATGGTAAAGAAAAGCTGACGCGATTACTGCATGTGTGGCCGCTGGTTCTGCTACACATGAGAGTGCTCTGGAAGTAGCAGTTATCTCCATGGTCACGCTGACGTGGTTGTCTAGTGAGCGCCGCTATCGTCTAGACACATTTCAATAAATTATCACATTTTGGAGTGGTTCGTCGATTCTTGATCGTCCTTGCCCGTTTCTGAATAGATGCAGTCTAGAAAGGAAACTTTCAAATAAATAAATATATATATATATACACACACATCTATACAATCACTAGTTTGCACTATTGCCTCACATTTTTACGTCAGGCATATATAGTAACATTTAAAAAATACAGAAAAGCTAAAAAAAAAAATGAATTAAAAAAACAACACATTAGCATTTGAAATACAAAATCAATCCATCTCAGACATCAGTCTCAGACATCAGTCTCAGACATCAGTGTCAGACATCACTCTCAGACATCACTCTCAGACATCACCCTCAGACACCACTCTCAGACATCACTCTCAGACATCACTCTCAGACATCACTCTCAGACATCAGTGTCAGACATCAGTGTCAGACATCAGTCTCAGACATCAGTCTCAGACATCAGTCTCAGACATCACTCTCATACATCAGTTTCAGACATCAGTCTCAGACATCACTCTCAGACATCAGTGTCAGACGTCAGTCTCAGACATCAGTCTCAGACATCAGTCTCACACATCAGTCTCAGACATCACTCTCAGACAACACTCTCAGACATCACTCTCAGACATCACTCTCACACATCAGTCTCAGACATCAGTCTCAGACATCACTCTCAGACATAAGTCTCAGACATCACTCTCAGACATCAGTGTCAGACATCAGTCTCAGACATTAGTCTCAGACATCACTCTCATACATCAGTTTCAGACATCAGTCTCAGACATCACTCTCAGACATCACTCTCAGACATCAGTCTCAGACATCAGTCTCAGACATCAGTCTCACACATCAGTCTCAGACATCACTCTCAGACAACACTCTCAGACATCACTCTCAGACATCACTCTCAGACATCAGTCTCAGACATCAGTCTCAGACATCACTCTCAGACAGAAGTCTCAGACATCACTCTCAGACATCACTCTCAGACATCACTCTCAAACATCACTCTCAGACATCACTCTCAGACATCACTCTCAGACACCACTCTCAGACATTAGTCTAAGACATCACTCTCAGACATCAGTCTCAGACATCACTCTCAGACATCACTCTCAGACATCACTCTCAGACATCACTCTCAGACATCAGTCTCAGACATCAGTTTCAGACATCAGTCTCAGACATCACTCTCAGACATCACTCCCAGACATCACTCTCAGACATCAGTCTTAAACATCACTCTCAGACATCACTCTCAGACATCACTCTCAGACATCAGTCTCAGACATCACTCTCAGACATCACTCTCAGACATCACTCTCAGACATCAGTCTCAGACATCAGTCTCAGACATCAGTCTCAGACATCAGTCTCAGACACCACTCTCAGACATCACTCTCAGACATCAGTCTCAGACATTACTCTCAGACATCACTGTCAGATATCAGTCTCAGACATCAGTCTCAGACATCAGTCTCAGAAATCAGTCTCAGACATCAGTCTCAGACATCACTCTCAGACATCACTCTCAGACATCACTCTCAGACATCAGTCTCAGACATCACTCTCAGACATCACTCTCAGACATCACTCTCAGACATCACTCTCAGACATCACTCTCAGACATCAGTCTCAGACACCACTCTCAGACATAGCTCTCGGACATCACTCTCAGATATCACTTTCAGACATCACTCTCGGACATCAATCTCAGACATCAGTGTCAGACATCAGTGTCAGATATCACTCTCAGACATCACTCTCAGTCATCACTCTAAGACATCACTCTCAGACATCACTCTCAGTCATCACACTCAGACATCACTCTCAGACATCACTCTCGGACATCACTCTCATACATCAGTCTCAGACATCAGTGTCATTCATCAATCTCAGACATCACTCTCAGACATCAGCCTCAGACATCACTCTCAGACATCACTCTCAGACATCACTATCAGACATCACTCTCAGACATAAGTCTCAGACATCACTCTCGGATATCACTCTAAGACATCAGTCTCAGACATCAGTGTCAGACATCAGTCTCAGACATCACTCTCAGACATCAGTCTCGGACATCACTCTCAGACATCAGTCTCAGACATCACTCTCAGACATCAGTCTCAGACATTAGTTTCAGACATCAGTCTCAGACATCAGTCTCAGACATCACTCTCACACATCAGTCTCAGACATCACTCTCAGACATTAGTCTCAGACATCAGTCTCACACATCAGTCTCAGTCATCAGTCTCAGACATCACTCTCAGACATCAGTCTCAGACATCAGTCTCAGTCTCAGACATCAGTCTTAGACATCAGTCTCAGACATCAGTCTCAGACATCACTCTCAGACCAACACTAGGGCAAGCGCTGTTTCTTAACCATATCTTCCTGCTTGTAAACACTGCAATCCATTGTTTGTCTCTTTTGTTCAAAAGCGAAATATGCCAGGCAATAAACTGTTTAATTAAAAGAAAATCGAAAACACGTTATATTTTACTCTGCCTTCCACCCTGGTTTGTAGCTTCTCTGCTCCAATTGATAGTACTGTACATGCTTTTAATGTTGTACCACAAAGGCCAGAATTCATTGTCTTTTATAAGAATAGTATACAATGGGCATCGCCATGTTTGTGGTAACGTACAGTTTATAGCATTCTTATATAATGGTGATAGAAATCTGTACAATTCATAATTTGTAAAATTGATGTTCCCAATAACAAATGGCAACAACCCAAACAGATAGTTGTCATCAATCCAGAAAAAAGGTGTAACCTTTGCTGCCTGGTACAATTCGTCAATCAAGTCTGGGGTTAGTAATACAGTATAACCTGCGCAGTATGGATACGGATATGTTGTCCTATTTGGGAAAATGTGAGAATCGACTTTCCATCTACCATTTCTTGCTACTGACAATGTATTATTTGCGTGTACCTCACAGACAATTGTTCTTTTCTTTGTTTTCATTTGTGGTAAGAACAAATAAACTAGTGTAAACATATTTATTACTACGTCGTCATCTATTCTCAGCACAAAAGCAGCATTTGGACAGTGATCTTTGACCCAGCGGAGTCCCATGACTCCCTTCAATGTAAGGTTGTAATAATCATCGATGAAATCTCCCATAACCGTATCGTTGTATGTTCTATGTTCCTGCCATAACTTCTCCGTTATTGCGCTATCGTTCGCTTTACCCAATAAGAAAGCAGTACGAATTTGGGCTGGGTAAAACAAAGATGTGTTCGCAAAAGTGGCTCTGATTCGTTGTCTTCTTTCAAAATGTGTAGTTGCTGTCTGCACGATAATGATGAAATCGATACTTGGAACATCTTCACAGAGATTAGGATTTGAGAAGATATAGTTGCCAATTCTGTTGGCAGGATAAATGGTTTCATTGGTCAGTGAAACAACATTTAACTCTCTCTTGACCATTCCAAGTCTGATCTGTTGCAATAATTTATCGTAACTTGTCGTTGGCTGTTCAGTAACTGTCATATTCTTGCTTATCATGTACGGACTTGTCTGGATGAAAAGATTGAATGATGTACTTTTACGATTGCTCCTGTGGTTCACAACATACCATGTCACAGTAAGATGTAGGATGGTGATCAACCAGAAAGTCGTAGCTGCCCTAGTTTTCGTTCTCACCAAAAAGTTTACTACAATGTAGATCTTCATGATTTACTCTTATCTCAGTCTGGAAAAGTAAAAGAGATCATACATCATCTATCAGTTACAGTGAGAAAATAATGTATAGACCGTGAGAAGATTATATTTATGGCGGGGTCTCTATTTTCCTCACAATACAGATTCATGACAAGGCCAGTCAGAGAAATCACGAAACAGATTCATAACAAGGCCAGTCAGGAAAGTCACGAAACAGATTCACAACAAGGCCAGTCAAAGAAGTCACGAAACAGATTCACAACAAGGCCAGTCAGAGAAGTCACGAAACAGATTCACAACAAGGCCAGTCAGAGAAGTCACGAAACAGATTTACAACAAGGCCAGTCAGAGAAGTCACGAAACAGATTCACAACAAGGCCAGTCAGAGAAGTCACGAAACAGATTCACAACAAGGCCAGTCAAAGAAGTCACGAAACAGATTCACAACAAGGCCAGTCAAAGAAGTCACGAAACAGATTCACAACAAGGCCAGTCAGAGAAGTCACGAAACAGATTCACAACAAGGCCAGTCAGAGAAGTCACGAAACAGATTCACAACAAGGCCAGTCAGAGAAGTCACGAAACAGATTCACAACAAGGCCAGTCAGAGAAGTCACGAAACAGATTCACAACAAGGCCAGTCAGAGAAGTCACGAAACAGATTCACAACAAGGCCAGTCAGAGAAGTCACGAAACAGATTCACAACAAGGCCAGTCAGAGAAGTCACGAAACAGATTCACAACAAGGCCAGTCAGAGAAGTCACGAAACAGATTCACAACAAGGCCAGTCAGAGAAGTCACGAAACAGATTCACAACAAGGCCAGTCAAAGAAGTCACGAAACAGATTCACAACAAGGCCAGTCAGAGAAGTCACGAAACAGATTCACAAGGCCAGTCAGAAAAGTCACGAAACAGATTCACAACAAGGTCAGTCAGAGAAGCATATGGGCAGAGCGTCCCATATTTTTACAGACCATCAGCACTCTGTGGGTAATGTGGTCAGCATTACGCCGGCTGTCTTTACTTTCCCAGGACAGCCCATCCTGGTGTCCATTTTAGGCTGGGTCGACCTGCAACGTCCCATACCACGATAAAAATCCACGGTGGGTTTCGATCGCGGCATGCTGGTTACGAGACGGACTCGCAACGCCTTAGCCACGGACGCCACGGATTGTATTAACATACAGTTATAAATACTAGGGCTGTACCGAATAGTGATTTTCACTATTCGGCCTAATACGAATAGCGATACCAACTATTTGGCCGAATACGAATACGAATAGTGTATCATCATCATCATCATCATCATCAGTTGTCTTGCCGACTGTCGTGGGCGATCATGCGTCTCCACAATCTGCGATCTGCTTCAGCATGTATGAGTTCGTATGCTGAGACACCTCCATGCCATGCAACAAGACTGTCAAGAATCTTCTCTCGCTGTCTTACTCTATCCCTCTTTCTACAGATCTTACTAGTGGTCACCACATGTTTTATTTTATCTCTTCTCATAACATAGTCGAAAAATGATGACTGTTTCCTTCTGATGTCTGTGAAAAGTTGTCTTCGGGCTCCCCCCTCTTTCAAAACCTCTTAGATGCTTTTTTTGTGTGTGTGTGTGGCTGTCCAAGGTATTTTAAGCATTTTTCTGTAAAACCACATCTCTTAGGCCTCAAGAAATTGTTTGGCCTGCCTACCGATTGTCCAAGACTCACAGCCATATGTTAAAACTTGATGTATGTAGCAAGCTAGAATTTTTTTTAACCTTCAATGACAAATATATATTGCGTAAGATGTTCCGCATTTTATACAACACATAATGTCAAATGTACGCTGAAATTTCAATTCACAAAATATAGTACATTATAGTAAACATGTAAAAACATTTTAAGTTTTGCATCCTTCAGCACTGACAGCTTAGTTAATCAATGAAAGCGGCATGAGCTTTAAAAAAAATGTTGTCAGCATTAAGGCAGCCTTCTGTCTCACTGAAGGTACTTTCAGCTGTACTAAACAGACGTTCACCTGGTACCCTCGAGGGTGGTGCACAAATATAACGCTTGACAGCATGAACCAAGGTCGGAAATTTTGACATGCTTTTTTTCCACCAGTCCAGTGGATCAGTGTTTGAGAACCTCTACTGGAATGCCGCGGTCGAGTCAGCAGGCAAAGACCTTGCCAGCTACTGTAACACGCAACCGAGTTGCAGTTTCCCCCGCTACAACAGACGTAGGCAACAGCAACTATTGTGTTAATGAGACAGTTATTTAAATCTATCGCAGTGTGTGCAGAAACGGATGTAAGGTAACCACTATTTGTATTCGGCCCGACCGCAAGTATTTGGCCGAATACCGAATAGTAATTAGGTTCACTATTTGGGCCAGAAGCCAATACGAAGCGAATATTCGGTACAGCCCTAATAAATGCACACGAAAATGTATACACACATACACATACACACATACATACGTACATACGTAATACATACATACATACATACCTACCTACCTACCTACCTACTTACCTACCTACCTACCCACCTACCTGCCTGCCCTCCTGCCTGCCTGCCTGCCTGCCTGCCTGCATGCATGCATGCATGCATGCATACATACATACATACATACATACATACATACATACACACACACACACGCACGCACGCAAGCACGCACGCACGCACATACATGCATACATACATACATACATACATACATACATACATACATACATACATACATACATACATACATACATACATACATACATACATACATACATACATACATACATCCATCCATCATCCATCCATCCATCCATCCATCCATCCATCCATCCATCCATCCATCCATCCATCCATCCATCCATCCATCCATCCATCCATCCATCCATCCATCCACCCACCCATCCATCCATCCATCCATACATACATACATACATACATACATACATACATACATACATACATACATACATACATACATACATACATACATACATACATACATACATACATACATACATACATACATACATACATACATACATACATACATATATACATACATACATATGTAGGTGCGTATTACTACATACACGCATACGTAGGTGAGTACTAGTACATATATAGCACTTCCATTTGTTGTTGAAAAAAAAAACAGCAGAAGCACCAGCGTCAATAATAATAAGTCATAGTAGTTTTTGTAGTAGTTGTTGTAGCTAAAACAACAACAGAATAATAGCAGCAATACTAGTAAATGTTTGCTTTTGCAATTGGTTGCACTGTTGTAGAAAAGACCGAATCAGTTATGATTGGCATAAAGACAATTGACCGTGTTGAAATGTTCAGCAGATGACGAATGATCAAAGCCTGTGTGAAAATGGGGTTGGGGAGGGGGGGGGGGGTAGTTTAGTTTGAGAACAAATATACATAAACATGATTTTTTTTTAAAATGGGCAATGATTTCTCACACTACTAATGTTATCTGTCACGCAGCGGTATTAATCAATTGTACACTTAGATAAGAAATGTCGGGAGATGACTACCAGTTAGTGGAATAGCTTCTGCTAAACCCAGTTTCGTCCTTTTGAGGACGAAATTTGTTGTTATTTGAAGCCCCACCCTGGCTGTTGCCAGGGGCCGCAATATAGGCAGGCCATAAATATGGCCAATTATCTGAACGCGGTTTCTGGGACCTCTCCACGTCGATCCTCATCCACAAGGTGGCACATTGTGTCATCGGGTGTTTATTCTTGTGTGACGTCCTGGTGGGGTAGAAAGTCAGTCAGACACGTTATAAATCATAAATGCTCTGCCACCAGTACGGACAGCTGATAAAAAACTGTCCGCCTGTGTCGCCGTCCGCACGCAACTCAGTAGCTACAGGGACGTTCCTCCATTTACCCCAGAGTGTTAACTCTGGTACCCATTACCTAGATTACCTAGAGGCTGGGTAAATCCGGGAACCGCCCAGAATTAAACACCGGCCGTGGGCTTCAGCGAGTCGCAGCTGGATTTGAAATCGAGTCTCACATCGATTGTGCTAACTCGGCTAATCAGTTATACACTGAAATGTTACCCCTTAAAACTTCACTGTGACATAATTTTATTGAAATCGCAGCATTCGGGACACCCCCATAAGGGCTCCGTTCCCATCTTCAACAGCAAGCGAAGAGTTAACATTTCAAGGTGCTAGTAACAGTCTGATTGTGTATCCGCATCTCTTGTTCCGTGAGTGTCGAGCGTCGGCCAGATCCCCTTGTAACTCCTTGCAGCGACATTGTTCTCAGACCATAATGATCTATCTGTGCCTCGGCACTGTTGACTCGCTCCCAAAGGGCCCTCACAACATCCATTTTGTCATACATCACTTCACCACTAAGTAGTGTAAAACCAGCCAGTCTTTCTGCCTGCTTATTTCTCAACACACCGACATGACCTTGAGAAAATATCCAAACGATGCTAACTACACGGGACCTTTGAAGTGATGTTTGAGAAAACAAAATGTAATATGCTTACTGTAATGAGGTGTAAACTCCATGACCTATAAATGGTTTCCAAGGGGACATGTTAGGAATGACCTGGAAGCAATACTGGAGGAAGACAGAAAAGCGAAACAAGCAGCCAAAGAAGAGTCAGACAGAATAGACGCAGAACTAGCCAAATACGCGGGAACATACGAAGACAAACTGGCTAGAGATGAACTCGAGAAACTTAACCACGCCCTCCAGACCAGCCGCCATGACAGTTGAACCAGCCAAACCCCCAGCCCGGAAAACGCCCCACAGCTCGCTACCAGCCAGGCATGATGTCAACCGCCCAACCCAAGCCCTCCCACCCGTACGAGGCCACCCCGGCAAACTTTACAAGTCCTTCTCAGGACTTGTAAACTTCCACTCCCAATCTCGGCCAACATCGCAGAAACACGCAAGGAAACCACTTCTAGACGCAGTTCGTCGCAATTGGAAAAAAAACTATTGGAAACTCTAAACAAATAAACGCAGTCCCAAAATAAC